CTTCGGAGCTCATCATGTGCGGCACCATATAGTGCGGGATTTCGAGGGTCCAACGGCAAGAAAGAAATAGATTCTGCGTGACGTAAGCGACTGACCCGTCAAGTCTATGTGTTGAGCTGGCCGAGAATCCCAACATATCCTTGCAATCAGCAAGTCGGCTAGGGGCAGTTCGGCGTGGGAGGGGGCATTTTGCACTCCGACCCATCTAGAGAGCTCTTTCATGAGCAAGACAAGAGTTGACGGGTTTTACCATGGTGGCTAGACGAGCTTGCTCCAGCTTCACAGGTTCACAGGTTTCACCAGAGCGGAACTTGTGAACCGGAACTAGTAAAGCAGTGAAGGTACAAAATGAACCCCCGTCGCCGAACAGCGCCTTTGTATGGTTTTTCTAATGAGGTCAGAGCCACCCTCCAGAACCATGGGCCTATGAATGGTGGCAAGTGGAGAAAGTTTGTTCACGGCCAGAAAGAACGAGTGCTTGATGGCGCAGTCGGTAGCTACCCATGGCACCCGGGCGATTCTATCGTCGGCAAGTCAGGCGCGCCGCACACGCCGCGCCGCGGCAATCCCGGAGTTGCATTACCGTACTCCCGAGTTGTCATTGGAGCAACGGCCACAGCAAGCTGTGCCTCTTTCAAATTGTTAAAGGGATCGTCGACCCTTTAACAATTTGAACGCCACGCAACAAAACTCGTACGCGGCGGCCGCCACGCCGCCTCCTCCGCCCACGACGACCAACGATAGAATTCACCACACCCCTAAAAAGTCGCTGTATTTCCTACAATCAAGGTTAATCTATTGAAGCGTTGATTACTCCGGAGCGTTTTTCAAGCCCTAGTTGGGTACGAAATCCTTGGCCGCAGGTAATAGGTCTTGATGAGGAACCTATTTTGGTCCCGAAATGAGTCGCCTGTGTCATCTTCATCTCCTTGTACATGGGATTTTGAAGCATGAGCAACACCTAAAATTTTATTCGCATCAAATTGCGTTTTGCCTTGTATTAAACTAACGAGTATGCCGTTTTTATTTTCATTTTCGTGGGGCATGGGCTCCGAGGGATGTTGCAGAAGTGGCACAGTTGCTTTTAAGTTCTGACCCTCGTCATCATCTTCTGTTCTTATTTTGCAGCACCTCCAATGTTATCCGCATCAGGAAATTGGTTTACTTGTTTTGAAAGCGCGGAATTAAAGGACTTGGCAAAGTGCCAAGGAGCCGCACGCGACACGCGCGCTTACGACGGATGTTATGAAGGACGGGAATCTGCGCCGCAAAAGGTGTAAGGCGGAGCATGGAGGAATTAGCGTGTTTCACGGTCCTGTATCTCCATTCCTGGGGGCCATGTTATTTTAGGGGCGGGGAAGGGGACCACCGAAGACGACAGCGGGCTGATAGTCTCATACACGCCTCGATGTGTGTGAGCGTACTAATGTGTCTGTTTAACAGTCAGGTAGCCCTTGTGCGCGCAGCAGCAGAAGGAAATAACGGTTGTGGGCACCTGTGAGCCCGCATCACTGCCGATTGCTCCGTCAAGCACACTGAAAACCGATCTGGTTATCGCTTATACATAATGGAGAATGTGGATGACCACCTCAGAAGACCACGACGAACCGCGCTCGCAGAGTCCTGGCGACACCTTCAAATGGCGAAACTCTTAAGTATTTTGCTCGAATCCACCATCTTTCCTATTAGTCTATCCCACAAGAAAGCTTCGCCCTTTCTCAACGAACAGCTGGTCCAAGGCACCTAGCGTGGTGAACAAATAGACGAAAATTCCTTCATCAGTCGTGCTTGCGCAGTTCGACTTTGGGGGCACCGAATCACCTAAGCATGGACAGTCCACCTGGTGAAACCTGAACTTCCTGAAACTTTTTTGACTGGTAACTCACTCGCATATTTTGCAGCTTCACAGAGTTTATAGGTTTCGTCAAAGTCAAGCCTGTATTGAACGTGGATTAACAAAAGGAACTCCTCAGCGCGCAAAATGCCCCTCCTAGCCGAACAGTGCCACAATGTGAGTCGATTTCTTCCATCCTCGGCTTAGGCGAAACCATCGAGTTCAATTCGTAGCAATCAAAAGTGCAGGAGTGCTTGACTGACCTCATAGAGGGTCTTGGCTAAGCTTGTGGGTCCCAGTGGTTTGATCCCCGGACCGCGTACGACCATTAGCGCCTCTTCCCACTTGTTCACCAGTTCAGCAAAGACTAGGGCAAGGAGTGTCCTTTGACTAAATCACCTCTTCAAGGGCATTTCTCAAGGCAAATTATGCGCAAGTTTCCGGAGCGCGAAGGCGGCTGCTCCCTGTCTCGAAAACTCCAAGGCGTCAAAGATTTGAACCCTGGACCTTGCATACTAACTATTCCCCTTTTGAAAGCAGTGGGCACGATAGCTGGAGGCGAGCGGTTGTTGCCAGTGTCATTGGTGGAAAGGGCTGCAAGCCGTTTAGCCACTCAGCCCTTCCACCAATGACGTTGACAACAACCGCCCGCCCCCAAACATCACACCAACTGCCTGTACGTTATTTGGAATATTCTATGACAGCCTGTGTTCACAGAACAAATGACAAGCGAATTCCCTCATTCTGTGAAACAACAATCTCGAAATTACTGCTTTATTTGGCATATTTATCACACTACAAGATATCTGCGTTATTTTTTTTACAAAAAATAATTGTTACATGGAATGATAACTGTCCGAAAAAAATAATCTTCATCTTAGGATAGCAATCAAACCACTACACATAGCTTCACACCAATTAGCACGTTTGAATGTGAGTATTAAGCAAACGAAATCAAATCAAATCAGTGTGTAAGTAAGAAAAGCACATGACTGTGAAATTACTATATCGAGCATGATAAGTAAGAAAGCATACACAGTACATTGGAGGTGTTATGGGGTCGTTCTTTTAATCCCTTCTCTTCCTGTTGTCCCTCTCCTTCTTATCGGCCAGAAGAATGACAAGATATCTGAAATCGAAAATCTGAATGCTTTTACAAGATTATGATGATTGTAAGACAAAAAGGCAGAGAAAAAGTGACAAGACAATCGTAATGGGCCGCGGACGGGCGGCGGGCCGCGGTCGGCGTGCGAGCAACGTCGCGCATACGAGGGACGAGTTCTGCTCGGTCGTTTAAAATTAAACGTTAGAGGGATGAGAAAGATCGAAATCATTTGGAATGAAGCCTTTCCGTCCGAATTCCCATGAGCTTCCCTGTTTCAATCGACAAACTGATTCGCATCGGGAATTGCCATGCACCGCCGCGCGCGACAACGCGGCAAAGCACAATTGTCTTGTTTCGCCTTCCCCAACGTCCTTATTTTCGTTACACACTAGTTCAAGATTAAAAGCATGTCAAATGTTAAAGACAGCATGGTAGTTCGCCAGTAGGTGAAAGAACCTTCCGATTGCCAGATAGGCCCTATGCCGAACCGAGGCCCAGATAGGACCCTATGCCGAACCGAGCTGTACGAGCATATAGTAGCCCGGCAACCTAGCACTTGACCTTTAATTAAGGGAGGACCTTTAATTTTCAGACAGTCCTAGACCGAGCCTTTAATCTCTGACACCATCCTAGCAAAAGCGTTCAGTGCTAGATGCTTTCAACAAACGATTTTGAGCCAGGAGCATGAGGATCCTTGTCGAGTCTAGCGAGAAATAAGCTCGGAGTTGAGCATATGGTCTTGAATCATAGAAGCTCTGGCAACACTCATGTCCTTCCTTCCTCCCTCAATGGAATAACACTCTATCTCCCATTGTGAAAGCCAAATACCAAATTTCTTGGAATTTCCATTCTCTTGCACCTCTTGCTACACGCCATCTTATTGTTAGCGAGATGGCTGATTGAATTTGTCTCTCAAATCAGGACAAAAATAGCTGCCTCAGGAAATTACTCTGGGCTACGGTTCTCATTCAAGCCGTGCAATATATCTGGGAAGTCGACGAATCTTTTCACCCACTCACCCTCCTGTTCAGGTTTGCAACCAAAAAATCCCGGAAAGAGATGAAGAGCTTGACCGCCTAAAGCGAGGTAACTGATCTAGCAAACAGGGTACTAGTAGTTAACTCTAGTTACACAGCCGCTCCCCTTCGTCATAACTGATTTCAGCAACAGTGATCCTCTGAGCAGGGCACGCCATCGCTGTGATGACTACAACGGGGGGGGGGGGGGGGGTGGTCGTACCCTTTGACCACGACCGGGCAGTGGGCAGAAGAGGTCGTATTTTTAGTCCGAGAAAGATTTTTTTGTTTAGTTGATTTTACGTTTCACGGACGGCTGGCTATAAGGGGGGGGGTCGTATTTGGCTACCAATGATCTATACAACTGCTATTCCCGATATTTAACTGAATGGTAGTGGAATCCTGACGACCCCCCAACCCTCCTCCCCCCCCCCCCTGCTCGACAGCAAAATTTTGGGGAAAAACCGGAAATTTTTTGGGGGAAAAAATGGTAGGAAGTTGGGAAAATCTAGGAAAGTGGTAGGTAGCATGGGGAGGGGGGGGGGCTATTTGAGGATAGAATTAGGGGGTCGTATTTTCAGGAAATGATCACAACGCCATGGCGTGCCCGCCTCTGAGATACTGTGAGGAAAATACACAATTATGTGTAAAGGCAAGAAAACCGATTCATTCACCGAATTCACAGCGAAACATCTCGCATTGCAGGTTGTGTTGATATAGAAAAGCGCTGATGGGATGGAGAAGTCAACTCCAGACAGATTATGCAATGGCTCCCCGTCACAAGGTTTGGGAGGATAAGCAACTCTAACCCTGAGCGACCTTGGAAGGAGTTCTAACAATTTAAACAAGGAAGTGAACCTGTGAAGATGAAAGGAAAAAATGTCAACTGAGCAGGTACAACCCTTGATGGGATTCTCCCAACCATGGTGTACCCTGATCGTAGGTCTGACTTAAGAACTGGATCTTCGAGATTAAAAAAAAACTAATGAAACCTACCTTCACTAATTTTCATGGCCTAAAATGTAAAGAAAACTTGTTAATAACACACCTGAAAATGTTAGCAAAATCGATGAAGAGCTCCACTGAGTGCCAGATGTAGTCATCATCTCCACGACGAGATTTCTCCGCAATCAACTGGGTATCGTACACCACAAAAGCGCATGACAATGCAAGCCCTTCAAATAGATTAATGGAATTTCAACTATGGTGCTTTTTTACCTGACTATGGAACAAAATACAGGTACAAATAGCTTTAGGGGACATTTAAAGGTCTTTTGGACAGAACTATTAGAATTACCGTTATAGAACTGGTCGGGCGTTCGTCTGACCCTATTTAAGTACCGCTATTCTTTTGGAAGGATTTATCACCTTTTCTACATGGAGAAGCCTTCCAATGCTCCCTCGAGGTTACTACCAGCGAAATATCTAGCATAAAAATGCTAACCTCCAAGAATGATGACGTAGTATGAGGCGAAGAATGCGGCGAACAACAGGCACAATCCAGCGGAAGCAAGGGTACCTGTAAACGATTCGATCACATCGATCCTTTCAAAATATATTCAATCAACTTCGGATCTCTTAGAATCCTCTCAAAAATGGTTCCCGTACAATCTCAAAAGATTCATGATGTATTGATCAGGAGATCCAACGCGCACAAACCAGTACGCTGGCGGCATGGCTGGCGGCTCGTGTTTGCTGCGCACCTACTGCGTATGCTGATAGCGCTTGTACTTGCAAAATAATGCAGCGGGCGCAGTTCGGCTTGGTGGGGTATTTTGCTGGTTCCCACCGAGTATGCTGATGTCTCCTATGGGAACCTGTAACTCTTGTGAAGCTATGCAAAAGCAGGACCTCCGTTGACACCCGACAAGAGTCTACAGGCTGAGACGTGTAATTCAACATAAACTAGCAAAAGAGCAACCCCCCCAAAGCCGAACTGTGCACAGTAGTGTTGCCTGCAATTTGGATTTTCGACTCGCACAGCTCCCGGACGTCCTCGCGCTCGCTGCGAACACTCAACGCGCTTCATATCTTCCATCAAAATAAAGAAAATTCTGATCATACCCACCTCCCATATGTATATACTTCGTTGACGGAGCATGAAGAGCCACAAGTGAGAAGCAACCGAACACCGTGGTCGTCGCCAACAACGCCGTCAGCACACATGATGGATCAATCGCAATCACACGCTCCAAAAGTGGTCCCATGCTCAAACCTGGAAAAAAGCGGCTCATAACTGCAAATTCAATATTAGGACGAAGCTTACTATTCTATATCCTGCCTACGATACAATAGGCGGCTTCACCTTGAGAAGGTGGGAGCATTTCAATGAGAGCACTTCAAAGACTCCTCCGGCAGAAGTGGGATTAGTAATTTCTGTATAGAAGCACTATCGTTCAATAGGTTTAGGAAATCCCAAAGCTCCTATCCCCCTCCCCCGGCTTATCAGCGCCTGCAGCTCGAAACATTCTTGGACCATCATTACTGGAGTTCCAATTGGTGTGGGGCGAGAGAGGTGAAGGCGTCTTTGCTCGTCGTTGGAAGAGGGATAGGAAGAAGGGAAATGCTAGGAAGATGACAGGTAGTGGGATAGGAGACAGGTAGTGGGATAGGAATGGGAAAGGGGGTCGTACCAGAGCAGGAAATGGGGAAGGGGGGGGTCAGAAACCTTACCCAATGGCATAAAGTGCCCAGAATACATAACGTCGAGATCAAGATAACAGTTATTGAGATGTCCCACATATGAACTGAAGGTACCGCTCACTGTTCAAAATCTCATAAATCTTTTCATACTTAGCGACTCCAGCGATTACTCGCGTATGATAGGAATCGGGCGAATGCGACCGACAGCGCTCCACTGCTAACCGCTGGACCATTGCAAAAAACTGTATTTCTTATGTGATTGAATTAGCACTGCGTCGGTCCAAGGGCTACTGCTGCAGCGCGTTTAACAAAATCGCACGACTGAATCGCTAAAGTCGCCCGTATAAACGCGGCTAGTTTGGAAATTCGAACAAGAACTCACCAGAAATTCCACAAAACAGGAAAAAGTATGCCAATCTTTTCTTCTCATTTGCTCGAGTATGTGGAGTCGATATCAAGGTAAACATCAAAAAGATCGATGCCAACGACAAGAGGAAATTCGCCCTGAAATCGAAAGATTATCACCCAACACAACTTGTACATCTATCATGAAAATACTAACAATCTTGGGTGTTCGATCACTCACTCCGGCTGTGAGTGGGCTAGGTTTCGCACGACGCAAGCCAGTTTTCCACCAATTGTGGTCGTCTCCCAGCTTCCTCAACTTGAGGAGACAGGGTACTTCATAGGCAGTACGACCCCACCCCCTTTCCCAACACCTACCTACCTACGAGTTCCCTGCTTCCTAGCACTTTTT